GTTTCCACCCCCATGCTTCACAGTAGGTATGGTGTTCTTTGGATGCAACTCAGCATTCTTTGTCCTCCAAACACGACAAGTTGAGTTTTTACCAAAAAGTTCTATTTTGGTTTCATCTGACCACATAACATTCTCCCAATCCTCTTCTGGATCATCCAAATGCACTCTAGCAAACTTCAGACGGGCCTGGACATGTACTGGCTTAAGCAGGGGGACACGTCTGGCACTGCAGGATTTGAGTCCCTGGCGGCGTAGTGTGTTACTGATGGTAGGCTTTGTTACTTTGGTCCCAGCTCTCTGCAGGTCATTCACTAGGTCCCCCCGTGTGGTTCTGGGATTTTTGCTCACCGTTCTTGTGATCATCATCTTTGACCCCACGGGGTGAGATCTTGCGTGGAGCCCCAGATCGAGGGAGATTATCAGTGGTCTTGTATGTCTTCCATTTCCTAATAATTGCTCCCACAGTTGATTTCTTCAAACCAAGCTGCTTACCTATTGCAGATTCAGTCTTCCCAGCCTGGTGCAGGTCTACAATTTTGTTTCTGGTGTCCTTTGACAGCTCTTTGGTCTTGGCCATAGTGGAGTTTGGAGTGTGACTGTTTGAGGTTGTGGACAGGTGTCTTTTATACTGATAACAAGTTCAAACAGGTGCCATTAATACAGGTAACGAGTGGAGGACAGAGGAGCCTCTTAAAGAAGAAGTTACAGGTCTGTGAGAGCCAGAAATCTTGCTTGTTTGTAGGTGACCAAATACTGATTTTCCACCATAATTTGCAAATAAATTCATTAAAAATCCTACAATGTGATCTTCTGGATTTTTTTTCCTCAATTTGTCTGTCATAGTTGACGTGTACCTATGATGAAAATTACAGGCCTCTCTCATCTTTTTAAGTGGGAGAACTTGCACAATTGGTGGCTGACTAAATACTTTTTTTCCCCACTGTACATAGACCGCAACCCCTTGTCTTACCAGAGGCTGCTGTTCTATCCTGCCGATACAGTGTATAACCCGCCAGCTGTATGTTATTCATGTCGTCGTTCAGCCACGACTCTGTGAAACATAAGATATTACAGTTTTTAATGTCCCGTTCGTAGGATATTCGTGCTTCTAGTTTGTCCACTTTATTATCAAGCGATTGTACATTGGCCAATAGTATCAATGGCAAAGGCAGATTAGCCACTCGTCGCCAGCTCCTTACCAGGCACCCCGATCTCCTTCCGCGATATCTTATTTTCTTTCTATTGCGAATGAGGGCCCTGCCGGGTGTCTGGAGCAAATCCCTCTCGTCAACTCATTAAAGACAAATTATTAGTCCAGTTCAAGGTGAGTAATCGCTGTTCTGATGTCCAGAAGCTCTTTTTGGTCAAAAGAGACGGTAGCAGCAACATTATGTACAAAATAAGTTACAAACAATGCGAAAAAACAAACAAAATAGCACAGTTGGTAAAGAGTCCATAAAACAGCAGCCATCCCCTCCATACATACATACACACAAGCTGGCTAGTTGGATTTGTGAAGAAGTATTGTATTGCTTATGTTTTTGCTGTTGTTGCAGCTGTTTTTATTAACCCTATTTGAAGGGGTTAGTCAGTGATACATGTTTAATATTACAAAAACATAACATGTCAAATGTGCCATGACTTCATTTGTAGTTTTTTCCTCATTCTGTCAGATAAACGTAAAGGTACTTGATTCTTCTTAAAACTACTACTAGAGTTAAAAAGCAATGGATTTGTGTAAACATGGGCAAGAGCTTCCTTCCAACATATTTATTGCACCAGTTTAGGCACTTATCCTTTAAATACAAGTCACATTAGAATTGATTTATAATTGAAACCTAACCAAACCTATGTCCTGGCCATGGAGTTGTATGGAGTCCTCTAGTGGCCAAAAGCCTATGTTAGCATGGGGAGCACCATTGAGGACTTTCACCATTTTGAATTAGTCAACTGGGCGTGACTTCCAACTTCATTGGCTAATCCCTCCTGATTACCTGGTTGATATGACCTGATGACCCAGTTGGAGTCGTGACAAGCCGGGTCATCAGGAGGGATCAGCCAATTCATGTTACTTGTGAAGAAGAAAATTTACTATTTCAAGATGGAGATGACCTCAATGGGGCAGCACATGCTCTCACAGATGCCATCATGATGCATAGATATTATGTCTATCCAAGTCTATGGTCCTGGCCCATCACCTTATGTATTACTGTCCCCCAGTGGCAAGAAGTGTCATCCCCCCAAAAAAACTATAGGCCAACAACACATAAATGGCTCCTAGCCTCCCAGCATAGGTTACTTACATTCACATTTACATTTACACAACTCATCGAGTACCCCCAAAAGCACACGTTTGTTGTAGCCCCAGACAAACTCACCTCATTGAACTCCTTGAGGGCTTGATTATTAGTTGACAAGCTGAATCTGGTGTGCTTGTCAGGGGCTACAAACAAATGTTGGGTTGTTGGGGTTACTCAAGGACTGGAGTTGGGAAACACTGGACTAGAGCATAAAGTCCTTACCGTGCTCGCTCTGTGCATCCCTAGTAGGCCTACTTTTGGGACACCTGTGTGCCCTATACTGTACACGTGACCAGTGACGCATGACGCAAAATGCCCTCCACTGTACAAATTACGTGGAATATACTGTAATGACCTGACTAGATCATAAAAGAACAACTGTCCAGACAGAGGATTGAGTTTACGAATGGGCGGTTTATTAAACCAACTTTACACAGGCTACTGTTTGGCCGTAGCCCACGCCAAATAAATGAAAGATAACCCACAAGCCAATCGTGACCTTCTCTTGTGAAGCCCAGACGTAAAAGAGAGAGAACAAAGGCTAAACCTGGTCTTAACTTCCCATGCTCCATCCCCCTGCCCAACCCCCCTCCACGCCACTCCGCCAACCGCCAGGATGCCCGGCATCAGAACATTCCAGGCATTCCCGTGATTGGCAGATAGCAGGTTGATTGACATGTCGGACTCCGCGAACACTGGGTACTGGTAGGTACAACACAACCATCTACTAGCCTAACACATAACACACAGCTGTCTGTGCGGGTCGCTACAATACTTAGAAATACAGACAAACTATATAGAAAACACAACAAAACAACCATATATAACAAGTTGGCAAAAATAGCTACTACAGGGATATTGTATTACTATGGCCAGGGATGATTATTGTCATTTAGAAATTAAGATTTTTTTTCTTCTTCTAAACAATGAATTAATATGCTGAAACCAATGTAAATACATGTCCTCAACGATGGAAGGCAGTCGAGAGGAGGCGAGATCAGTTTGGACCATTCTAGCCAATGAGAGCCAGATACGCGAGTGAACAACAGGCACACCGGTCCTTGCTATTACGAATCTTTGGGACGTCCCAACTCTGACGTTCTGACGTTACCAATGGGCCAGGGTTCCGGTCTAGAAGCACGGTCTCGACTGCTCCTACAGTTTTGCTTCGGTACTGAAGTTTACCTGACGCCCGGCCCACAAATACAATTTCCATCCACAGCCACATAAAGAAGTCAAGATTAGAAAAACCATAATAAGACTCTCTAGTCATCACCTTTGCGCACAAAACATCCATTGAATTATTCAAATAATTGTCGCTGAAGCCGAATGTTTTATATTCATCCAACATCTGCCATGTTTTTGGATGACGTGATGTGTCGCTGCTCGCTGTGCGCACTGAGTGCTATGCTGCGTTCAAAAAAACTGGGAACTCGTAAATAACTGACTTCTGGACTTCACTGCGTTCAAGATTACTGGGATATCGCGGGGGAAAAACCACTCCGACTGGGAAAAATCGTTTTGAACGGTCATCCAACTCGGAATTCCAAGTCGGGAACTCGGGCATCTTTCTAGAGCTCCGACTTTCCGACCTAAAGGTCACTGATGTCATGATTTTACATCGTTTTTTCTGGAGTTCCCAGGTGTCTAAAAAAGCACCACTACTGCACATCTGACGTTAGTGTTAGTCTTTAGGGTAGGGACGTCCCAATGATCCTGTATAGAAATAATCCAAGCACAACTCCAATATAAAGTGTTTTTTCTCAAAGTTGCCGCGATGTCACGTATACTACTTATATTGGTACAATCGTAACAACCTAAGCATTACGAAACTTTTTTCGATCAAATAAGCCTCACGTAGCACATAAGCCATTGCATTTTTGTTGACCAAATTCGACACTCATTGACCTCCATACAAAAACCAAGCATGGTGGGCAAAAAAAAACGCCACCTGCTAGAGACAGATTTAGGCCGAGTTTCCCCTCTCGCTTCAATTTTTCCCTCTGTTTAAACTTTAAAATCATCATATCCTGCTTTGAGTTGGCCTCCTCCCGATTGGCGCTTTTGAAAGACACCGAGCGACGTGATTGCTTGGTTTTGAAAGCTAGCTGCCCCGCGGCCAATTCGAATAGAATGCACCCAGCAGTAGTACTCTAGCTAGCTGACTGCAATAGAGCCACACTCATTTTCCATTCAACAACAGTCAAGTTACACAACGACATTGGAAGAACGGTATAAATGTTTTACCTTTTTAGCAACATGTATTAGGTTTGTTTAAAGTTTGATGGATGGTATTGTAGCAGTTGTCATCATGAAATTGACAATTTAACTAGCTAGCACGATAGCATTGTGGGAAACATTTGCTAGCTAACTAGCACATGCATAGCATGTGAAAACGAGGATATTATTACTAACAAGGCGTCACATCACGTCACAAAGTAATGTTATACTGTCTAGGTTTTGTTATCGAGTAATGATCCTAATGTAATGTTCAATGTTGGCTGGCTATCTAGATAGCCAACTAACTACCTACTAGTAATCATTAACGCAAACTTCATGCTTCTTTTCCTAACACTTGTTGATTACGCGAGGTTTCATAACTTACTGTAGTTACCTCCAACAAACTAAGTTGGATATTTTGACCTATCGTTGATTTTAAATGGCATGAATGGCTTTTGTAACCTAGCCTGTTTTTTTTTCAGGGAACAATGGAGGATTACTTGAAAATAGAGAAAATCGGAGAGGGTATGTTATTTCCTCAATTTTGATTTGTGTCCCCCCCCCCAAACTTGCTATCTAGTTTGAATAATATGTAGATCATTTTGAACTTGATATATCTAGCTTGCTAGATTTGTGTGCATGTCATTTGATTTTCTTCCTTGTGTTATGACAACCTGTTAATCAAATCAAATTTTATGTCACATACTTCGTAAACAGGTGTAAACTAACAGTGAAATGTTTATTTATTGGCCCTTCCAACAATGCAGATATAAAAATAATAGAACGATAATGGGTACGATAACTTGGCTATATACACGGGGTACCAGTACCAAGTCGATGTGCAGGGATACGAAGTAATTGAGGTAGATATGTACATATACAGTGCCTTCGGAAAGTATTCAGACCCCTTGACATTTTCCACATTTTGGTAGGTTACAGCCTCATTCTAAAATTTCTTTTTTTCCTCAGCAATCTACACACAATACCCCATAAGGATAAAGCGAAACAGTTTTTTTTTTTTATGTTTGCAAATTATTAAAAATGAAACAGAAATACCTTATTTTTCATAAGTATTCAGACCCTTTGCTATGAGACTAAGGTACATCCTGTTTCCATTGATCATCCTTGTGATGTTTCTACAACTTGATTGGAGTCCACCTGTGGTCAATTCAATTGATTGGACATGGTTTGGAAAGGCACACACCTGTTTATAAGGTCCAACAGTTGACAATGCATGTCAGAGCAAAAACCAAGCCATGAGGTCGAAGGAATTGTCCGTAGAGCTCCGAGACAGGATTCTTCAATCTACCACAATACCCCATAATGACAAAGCAAAAACCGGATTTTAGAAATGTTTGCTAATTTACTGAAATATAACATTTACATAAGTATTCAGACCCTTCACGAAGTACATTGTTGAAGCACCTTTGGCAGCGACAACAGTCTTCTTGGGTATGAGGCTACAAGCTTGGCACAGCTGTATTTGGGGTGTTAATCCCATTATTCTCTGCAGATCCTCTCAAGCTCTGTCAGGTTGGATGGGGAGCGTTGCTACACATCTATTTCCTCTGTAGCTCAGCTGGTAGAGCATGGCACTTGTAACGCCAGGGTAGTGGGTTCGATCCCCGGGACCACCCATGCATGTCTGTAAGTCGCTTTGGATAAAAGCGTCTGCTAAATGGCATATTATTATTATTAAGTCTCTCCAGAGATGTTCGATCAGGTTCAAGTCCGGGCTCTGGCTGGGCCACTCAAGGACGTCCAGAGACTTGTCCCGAAGCCACTCCTGCGTTGTCTTGGCTGTGTGCTTAGGGTCGTTGTCCTGTTGGAAGGTGAACCTTCGCCCCAGTCTGAGTTCCTGAGCGCTCTAGAGCAGGTTTTCATCAAGGGTCTCTCTGTACTTTGCTCCTTTCATATTTGCCTCGATCCTGACTAGTCTCCCAGTCCCTGCCGCTGAAAAACATCCCCACAGCATGATGCTGCCACCACCATGCTTCACCATAGGGATGGTGCCAGGTTTCCTCCAGACGTGACGCTTGGTAATCAGGCCAAAGAGTTCAATCTTGGTTTCATCAGACCAGAGAATCTTGTTTCTCATGGTCTGAGAGTCTTTACGTGCCTTTTGGCAAACTCCAAGCGGTCTGTCATGTGCCTTTTACTGAGGAGTGGCTTCCGTCTGGCCACTCTACCATAAAAGCCTGATTGGTGGAGTGCTGCAGAGATGGTTGTCCTTCTGGAAGGTTCTCCCATCTCCACAGAGGAGCTCTGTCAGTGACCATCGGTTCTTGGTCACCTCCCTGTCCAAGGCCCTTCTCCCCCGGGCGGCCAAGTCTTGGTGGTTCCAACCTTCTTCCATTTAAAGAATGATGGAGGCCACTGTGTTCTTGGGGACAGTCAATGCTGCAGAAATGTTTTAGGTATCCTTCCCCAGATCTGTGCCTCGACACAATTCCTTCGACCTCATGGCTTGGTTTTTGCTCTGATATGCACTGTCAACTGTGGGACCTTTTATATAGACAGGTGTGTGTGCCCTTCCAAATCATGTCCAATCAATAGAATTTACCACAGATGGACTCCAATCAAGTTGTAGAAACATCTCAAGGATGATCAATGGAAACAGGATACACCTGAGCTCAATTTCGAGTCACATAGCAAAGTCACATAGCAAAGTCTGAATACTTATGTAAATAAGGTATTTCTGTTTTTTTATTTGTAATACATTTGCTAAAATGTCTAACCTGTTTTCGCTTTGTCATTATGGGATATTGTGTGTAGATATTATTAAAAAATATATATATTTTAGAATAAGGCTGTAACGTAACAAAATGTGGAAAAAGTCAAGGGGTCTGAATACTTTCTGAAGGCACTGTAGGTAGGGGTAAAGTGACCCAGGCAACAGCATAGATAACAGTAGCGTACAGTGGGGGGAAAAAAGTATTTAGTCAGCCACCAATTGTGCAAGTTCTCCCACTTAAAAAGAGGAGAGAGGCCTGTAATTTTCATCATAGGTACACGTCAACTATGACAGACAAAATGAGAAAAAATTTTTCCAGAAAATCACATTGTAGGATTTTTTATGAATTTATTTGCAAATTATGGTGGAAAATAAGTATTTGGTCAATAACAAAAGTTTCTCAATACTTTGTTATATACCCTTTGTTGGCAATGACACAGGTCAAACGTTTTCTGTAAGTCTTCACAAGGTTTTCACACACTGTTGCTGGTATTTTGGCCCATTCCTCCATACAGATCTCCCCTAGAGCAGTGATGTTTTGGGGCTGTCGCTGGGCAACACGGACTTTCAACTCCCTCCAAAGATTTTCTATGGGGTTGAGTTCTGGAGACTGGCTAGGCCACTCCAGGACCTTGAAATGCTTCTTACGAAGCCACTCCTTTGTTGCCCGGGCCGTGTGTTTGGGATCATTGTCATGCTGAAAGACCCAGCCACGTTTCATCTTCAATGCCCTTGCTGATGGAAGGAGGTTTTCACTCAAAATCTCACGATACATGGCCCCATTCATTCTTTCCTTTACACGGATCAGTCGTCCTGGTCCCTTTGCAGAAAAACAGCCCCAAAGCATGATGTTTCCACCCCCATGCTTCACAGTAGGTAGGGTGTTCTTTGGATGCAACTCAGCATTCTTTGTCCTCCAAACACGACAAGTTGAGTTTTTACCAAAAAGTTCTATTTTGGTTTCATCTGACCATATGACATTCTCCCAATCCTCTTCTGGATCATCCAAATGCACTCTAGCAAACTTCAGACGGGCCTGGACATGTACCGGCTTAAGCAGGGGGACACGTCTGGCACTGCAGGATTTCAGTCCCTGGCGGCGTAGTGTGTTACTGATGGTAAGCTTTGTTACTTTGGTCCCAGCTCTCTGCAGGTCATTCACTAGGTCCCCCCGTGTGGTTCTGGGATTTTTGCTCACCGTTCTTGTGATCATTTTGACCCCACGGGGTGAGATCTTGCGTGGAGCCCCAGATCGAGGGAGATTATCAGTGGTCTTGTATGTCTTCCATTTCCTAATAATTGCTCCCACAGTTGATTTCTTCAAACCAAGCTGCTTACCTATTGCAGATTCAGTCTTCCCAGCCTGGTGCAGGTCTACTATTTTGTTTCTGGTGTCCTTTGACAGCTCTTTGGTCTTGGCCGTAGTGGAGTTTGGAGTGTGACTGTTTGAGGTTGTGGACAGGTGTCTTTTATACTGATAACAAGTTCAAACAGGTGCCATTAATACAGGTAACGAGTGGAGGACAGAGGAGCCTCTTAAAGAAGAAGTTACAGGTCTGTGAGAGCCAGAAATCTTGCTTGTTTGTAGGTGACCAAATACTTATTTTCCACCATAATTTGCAAATAAATTCATTAAAAATCCTACAATGTGATTTTCAGGATTTTTTTCTTCTCAATTTGTCTGTCATAGTTGAAGTGTACCTATAATGAAAATTACAGGCCTCTCTCATCTTTTTAAGTGGGAGAACTTGCACAATTGGTGGCTGACTAAATACTTTTTTTCCCCCACTGTATGTGATGAGTCAAGAGTCAGTACAAAGGGGGGTCAATGCAGATAGTCCGGGTAGATATTTGGTTAACTATTTAGCAGTCTAATTCCTTGCGGGTAAACGCTGTTCAGGGTCCTGTTGGTTCCAGACTTTGTGCATCAGTACCGCTTGCCACTATACGTTATTGATCAAGTTAGCTACACAACATAGTAAAGCATGATTGTTCCTGTGATTTCCAGGTACCTATGGGGTTGTGTACAAAGGAAGACACAAGTCGACAGGCCAGGTGGTGGCCATGAAGAAGATCCGACTGGAGAGTGAGGAGGAGGGAGTGCCAAGCACGGCTGTTAGAGAGATCTCTCTGCTCAAAGAGCTAGCGCACCCTAATGTTGTACGGTATGTACAGTGTGTTTGTGTCTGTTGGGTTCCTAAAGTGTTTACAGTAGCCAGGCAGCAAGAAAGTAGACGTGATTTGTCTTATCAGTTCAAAGCTCAGACACACCATTATTCCAAATAGGCCCTGAGCAAGTCTTGCACTTGCCATATAATATTAGCTTTCTAGGCCCCATGTAGCTCAGTTGGTAGAGCATGGCGCTTGCAAAGCCAGGGTTGTGGGTTCGTTTCCCACAGGGGGCCAGTATGAAAAAAAAACAAGAAATGTATGCACTCACTAACTAAGTCGCTCTGGATAAGAGTGTCTGCTAAATGACTAAAATGTAAATGTAGTGTCTACATAAACAAATAGCATATGTTTCCCATGTGTTTTGTCTCCAAACAGGCTTCTAGATGTGCTGATGCAGGAGTCCAGACTGTACCTCATCTTTGAGTTCCTTTCCATGGACCTGAAGAAATACCTAGACTCTATCCCCTCGGGCCAGTACATGGACCCCATGCTTGTGAAGGTATGGACCCCACTGAGGGCGGGGCAGTCATGATGCACATCACTTTGTTTTTGTCAGTTTTTTTTCTTCTTCTTCACTTTCTGCTCTTAGTATACCAACCTAGTGTTTTAGTTCAAGTTGTATCGGACTGTAAACAAAGTGTTTCTCGCCAGTAGGTGCATTTTAACCCTCTGCTACTATCACCCCATCCAGAGCTATCTGTACCAGATCTTGGAGGGCATCCTGTTCTGCCACTGTAGAAGGGTCCTCCACAGAGACCTGAAGCCCCAGAACCTGCTGATTGACAACAAGGGAGTGATCAAGTTGGCAGACTTTGGGTTGGCCAGGGCCTTCGGGGTGCCAGTCCGGGTATATACCCACGAGGTAAGCCAGAACACCACATAGTTAATTTCCAAAGAGCATTAGCAGATACACATGTAAAGTTATGCTATCACGTGTACACGTAAATGTTAATGGCATCATTAACTGTGTCTTTGTGTCCAGGTTGTGACACTGTGGTACAGGGCTCCTGAGGTTCTGCTGGGGGCTGCACGGTACTCCACCCCTGTGGATGTCTGGAGTATCGGGACAATCTTTGCAGAGTTGGCCACAAAGAAACCACTTTTCCATGGAGACTCAGAGATTGACCAGCTCTTCAGGATCTTCAGGTATGCACTGAGTGTACAAAACATTTGGAGTACCCCCTTTTGCCCTCAAAACAGCCTCAATTCGTTGGGGGCATGGACTACAAGGTGTCGAAAGCATTCCACAGGGATGCTGGCCCATGTTGAAAAACCCAGCAGTGTTGCAATTCTTAACACACTCAAACCGGTGTGCCTGGCACCTACTACCATACCCCGTAAAAGGTACTTAAATCTTTTGTCTTGCACATTCACCCTCTGAATGGCACGCATACACAATCCATGTCTCAAGGCTTGAAAATCCTTCTTTATTTCTGTCTCCTCCCCTTCATCTACACTGGTAGAAGTTTAATTAACAGGTGACATCAATAAGGGATCATAGCTTTCACCTGGTCAGTCTGTCATGGAAAGAGCAATGTTCTTAATGTTTTGTACATTCAGCGTATTTACATATGAATATACACATCTGTAATATAACCAACCCTACTGCTACCAATATCTAGGTTGGTTAATCAATACATTTGAATGTTTTTGTTGTAGACAATTTTGATGCTAGATTAGGACATTTGATAGAGCTGTCCTGGGCAATGAGCCATCCAAAATTATTTACCGGCAGACAAGTTGTGTGATAAACAGTCAACACTGAGAGAATTGCTCCATGATGGGCATACTGTATGACATCTTTATGATCTCCTTGAATTAAGTATTTATCAAGCGTTGTTTCTTTCTTTTTCAGGACCCTTGGTACTCCCAACAATGACATCTGGCCAGAGGTGGAATCTCTGCCTGACTACAAGAACACGTTCCCCAAGTGGAAGTCAGGGAACCTGTCCTCCATGGTGAAGAACCTAGACAAGAATGGCATTGATCTGCTCGCTGTAAGACAATTTCACCTTATTTTTATTCAGATTGATTATGAAACATTGTTACTGTAGAAGCCCTGTGCACACTTGTCTTTTTCAAGGGGCTGGTTGTGTTTTGGATAGTATAAGTGATATTGAAGAGACCTATTGTTCTGTCAGCACAGCAGTAGTCTTTAGGATACATTTACATTTTAGTCATTTAGCAGACGCTCTTATCCAGAGCGACTTACAGGAGCAATTAGGGTTAAGTGCATTGCTCAAGGGCACATCGACAGATTTTTCACCTTGTTGGCTTGGGGATTAGAACCAGCGACCTTTCGGTTACTGGCACAACGCTCTTAACCACTAAGCTACCTGCCACCCCAAATGATACAAATGAAAATGACCATGTCCCACCTTCTGTAGAATGTGTCACTTCATAACTTTCTATCTTCCTCATTTATAGAAAACGCTGATCTATGACCCACCCAAGAGGATCTCTGCCAGACAGGCTATGAGCCATCCATACTTTGATGACCTGGACAAAACCACTCTACCTGCCAGCACGGTCAAGATGTAAATGCCACATGGCTCTACTCAAAGGACCTGAGAAAGAGTACAATTATGGAAGCGTATTGCTCCATAATCTGTACATGTTTTTTGTTGTATGTTTGTCCTTTCTTTGTTTGTCCTTTTTCTATCTAATATGATTCATTATTCTGTAAATAACGTTTATGTTAAAAAATATACATACATGGGAATTAAATCACAAAAGTTATTTTTATGTGCACTACGTCATCAGGCACAGCCATTTATCCGCAATAAACCAGTTTGATGGAAACATCTCGGGTGGGAATATTGTTCTATGCAGATTTTAGAATATTTGCATGAAAATCTGTCGCCAATTGGATGGAAACCTAGTTAGTGCCACATATTCCCAAACTGAAATTAAGTCGGTGTGCATCCTGCTTGGTGTTCTAAATGTGATAATTACTCCACTGATAAGGTGGTCAGTTATGGATGTCTTACCTAGCAGGACAGGGATGTTCCTGTCTCTGTTAAAAGGAAAAGGAAAAATTGGAGAGTGATTTGTGTGATAACCCCCCCCCCCACACCTCCAATAAAGTAGGAAATTACCTTTTATCTCAATATCAAATCATTTCTGGGTGACAATTAGGTACCTTACTGTAATATTTTTCCATAAAAATTGTCCAACAAAAAAGCTTTTGAGCAAAAAACAAATTCTCAAGTAAGAATTTTGAGTGTGGATGGGAGGGGAAGGGCACCAAAGCAGTGCATAACCACAGTGTGGATCAATACTCAGAGTGGAGGGGCCTAATGGGAGAGATATTTAACCTGTAAACTAGATCTTATTGGTAGAGGTTTGTAACTATCTTTGTTATTGATCTATTAACTTATATCGCCTGGTGATGTCACCAGGCAAGCCAAAACTCCATCCATGCAAAACCTGCTGATTAGAAGGTCCTGTGTAGATTGTATTTTCGACCAGCTACTGTCCGGAAATAACACTGATCAAATCTTTTCACACTTTCACAGTGTTAGTTTCATCAGCTGTTGTACATTATGATACAAAACACAGGAAAACCTAATTTGGACTGCACTGGACTTCTAAAGACCCACTCCAACAACTTTTCCAGTTGAAAAACGATTTTCCAAATATAAATACAGTAAAGTACAAACATTTAAGAGTAAGAGAATATGTTTTTAGCAAAATAGTGTTTTTTAGAGGAGTTGGTCTAAATTCAAGGAGTTGGTCTGATGGGTGCAATCTGATGTTATCGGCCTCCCTCCTTGCTTGTGGAAACAATATAGGACAAAGGAGGAAAGCGCGCCCCCCCCCACCCCACCCCCACTTGTGCCATGTAATGAGGACACCTGCACCAGCTACTGAAATGCACATTTTGTTAAGTAAGGCCTAAATTAAATCAGATCAAGCGTTAAATCGGCGATAGCCGACACCCGCATAGCTGATGTTTTGGTAGTGTCGGATATGGAACTGCGTTGGAGCTGTCAAATCGGTGATCATTGTCACGAAGCCCCACCCGTCTGTCCGACTTACGTTAGAAGTTCAGAACAAGAAAGTGTAGGCTATATAAAAATAATGAAACTCATGTTCCAATGTTCGAACTTGTAAACAAGGCTACATAGGATTTCTCTTAATGCGACTCTGTGCAGCCAATGGCAATGTCCGCTTAAGGTATAATGCCAGGAGCCGCTTGTGGATTTGACAGCTCTAATGCAGTTCCACCTCCGACATTGCCAAAACAACCATTATGAGGATGTTGGCTAAAGCGGATCTGATTGAATAGAGCTCTATATCAGGTGATAAATGAGGTGCTAGGGAGGCTGGATGTGGTCTGTAAGTAATATTCAAAGTGGACTAGCTCATTGGACTATAGTAAGTGAAGTGATGCCACTGCAATTTAGCTATCGGAAGAACTGTAGCTAAATTAAATAGTGTGTGTTCCAGAACACATATTTTGTGTAGGACTGGGCAGGTTATCAGACAATGCCTTGAGAAGTGTAGGAATTTGATCAAATCATCCCAGAATCTGCTCAGAATGTGTGTATCTGCAACATGCCCCCCTCGTGCCCAATCACTGTTGTACAGTAAGAGGCCTTTTGTTCATCATGTGTCCTTCATGCATTGGGCTAAACTGCAATCACTACCAAGAAAGAAGCACTGTCGAGCAAATGAACACAGTTGAGTGGGAGTGAATTCACATGAATACTGATTTGTTATGTGCCATTCTCCTAGTTTCTTGGTCTTTTGTATTCTTTGACTGTCACTCATTGCTTACAAATGGCAAGGGGTGAAAAATAAAACAGCAGGCTTTCAATTCTAAGACAAAAGGCTGCTGCATGAGGGATAGGATAAAGTATTTACAGTGGGGGGGGAAAGTATTTAGTCAGCCACCAATTGTGCAAGTTCTCCCACTTAAAAAGATGAGAGAGGCCTGTAATTTTCATCATAGGTACACATCAACTATGAAAATCCAGAAAATCACATTGTAGGATTTTTTATGAATTTATTTGCAAATTATGGTGGAAAATAAGTATTTGGTCACCTACAAACAAGCAAGATTTCTGGCTCTCACAGACCTGTAACTTCTTCTTTAAGAGGCTCCTCTGTCCTCCACTCGTTACCTGTATTAATGGCACCTGTTTGAACTTGTTATCAGTATAAAAGACACCTGTCCACAACCTCAAACAGTCACACTCCAAACTCCACTATGGCCAAGACCAAAGAGCTGTCAAAGGACACCAGAAACAAAATTGTAGACCTGCACCAGGCTGGGAAGACTGAATCTGCAATAGGTAAGCAGCTTGGTTTGAAGAAATCAACTGTGGGAGCAATTATTAGGAAATGGAAGACATACAAGACCACTGAAAATCTCCCTCGATCTGGGGCTCCACGCAAGATCTCACCCCGTGGGGTCAAAATGATCACAAGAACGGTGAGCAAAAATCCCAGAACCACACGGGGGGACCTAGTGAATGACCTGCAGAGAACTGGGACCAAAGTAACAAAGCCTACCATCAGTAACACACTACGCCGCCAGGGACTCAAATCCTGCAGTGGCAGACGTGTCCCCCTGCTTAAGCCAGTACATGTCCAGGCCCGTCTGAAGTTTGCTAGAGTGCATTTGGATGATCCAGAAGAGGATTGGGAGAATGTCATATGGTCAGATGAAACCAAAATATAACTTTTTGGTAAAAACTCAACTCGTCGTGTTTGGAGGACAAAGAATGCTGAGTTGCATCCAAAGAACACCGTACCTACTGTGAAGCATGGGGGTGGAAACATCATGCTTTGGGGCTGTTTTTCTGCAAAGGGACCAGGACGACTGATCCGTGTAAAGGAAAGAATGAATGGGGCCATGTATCGTGAGATTTTGAGTGAAAACCTCCTTCCATCAGCAAGGGCATTGAAGATGAAACGTGGCTGGGTCTTTCAGCATGACAATGATCCCAAACACACCGCCCGGGCAACGAAGGAGTGGCTTCGTAAGAAGCATTTCTAGGTCCTGGAGTGGCCTAGCCAGTCTCCAGATCTCAACCCCATAGAAAATCTTTGGAGGGAGTTGAAAGTCCGTGTTGCCCAGCGACAGCCCCAAAACATCACTGCTCTAGAGGAGATCTGCATGGAGGAATGGGCCAAAATACCAGCAACAGTGTGTGAAAACCTTGTGAAGACTTACAGAAAACGTTTGACCTGTGTCATTGCCAACAAAGGGTATATAACAAAGTATTGAGAAACTTTTGTTATTGACCAAATACTTATTTTCCACCATAATTTGCAAATAAATTCATAAAAAATCCTACAATGTGATTTTCTGGATTTCTTTTCCTCATTTTGTCTGTCATAGTTGACGTGTACCTATGATGAAAATTACAGGCCTCTCTCATCTTTTTAAGTGGGAGAACTTGCACAATTGGTGGCTGACTAAATACTTTTTCCCCCCACTGTATATTAAACATATCCCGTTTGTTTTTCATATTATAGGTCATATCCTCACCCACAATAAAATGCCATTTATAAGTCTACCTACATTCTGACAAGAGAGCAGTTAAAATGAATGTAATGTCAAGCGATATCTACAACTTGACATTTATGATACATTATCTGGACTTGGTGTGACTGCAAAGTTCTTACTGACGAGTCACCATAGAGCAGGGGTGTCAAACTCATTTTAGCTCAGGGGCCACATGGAGGAAAATCTATTCCCAAGTGGGCCGGACCGGTAAAATCATGGTATATATAACTTAAAAACAACAACTTCAGATTGTTTTCTTTGTTTTAATACTATCAACATAAAACATAAAGCTGGAGCCTGAGGACAGTGTGTCCAAAATAGTACAAGCACAACATCACTATTAATCATAAAACACTTCAAGTTTATTTGAAAATTCTAAAGAAAAAGAACACACAAACACACAATGCCTCAGTGATTCACAGAACTGTTTCACAGATCACAGAACTATATCAGGGTGTCATTTCTCAGGCAGAAATGTAGATACAAATAATGAAATCCTGTTCCCCAAACAAGTGCAAGAACCACAGAGTCAAGAATAGGTTAAATATACAAATAAAAAAAAATCAATTAAAAACAATAGCACATCAACATAAAAACATATAAACATAAAGCTGGAGCCTGAGGACAGTGTGTCCAAAAGCACAACATCACTATTAATCATAAAACACCTCAAGTTATTTGAAATTCTGAGGACAAACAACACACAAACACACAATGCCTCAGTGATTCACAGAAGTATATCACAGATCACAGAACTATATCAGGGTGTCTCATGCAGCACTTTAAGTGGGGTTGCATAGTTTATTTGACTCCTGATACCTGGCATCTTTTAGCTTTCACCAGCGCATCAATATCAGGCGTCACATCCTGAGTGGCAGCCAACTTCAGGATGTGATTCAAGTGCTTGTGCGTGAGCCTTGAGCGCAGCTTTGTTTTATTTATGCTCATTACAGAGAACTTGCTCACAAAGATATGTGGTTCTAAACATGCACAACAGTTTTGCAGCGAGGGCTGTCAAGTTGGGGTAACCTGGCAAGAGATTCTGATAAAATGTGTCCAAGCCAGCTGCGGCAAATTTGCCCTTCAAATCCGAGTCACACTGCAAGTATATTATTTCAAGTTGGATGCTGACGGGCAGATCAGAGGGATTCACGGTTAATGGCGAACAAAAACCGTTGAAGTCTTTCTCCAGTTCACCAAAAATCTGAAAGCGTTGCTCAAACTCCCTTAACAGTCCCGTTATTTTATCTTTGAACCGCTTCATGTCTGCCACATGTTGGGTCGCGCACACATTTTTCAGACAGGGGAAGTGAGCTGCATCACCACCGGCAAGTTGCGTCTCCCACAATGACAGCTTCAACTTGAAAGAACGTATGCTGTCATAATACTGCGTGGCAACTTTGTTGCACCCTTGCAGCTGTTTGTTCAAGTTATTCAGGTGCTCTGTAACATCCACCATAAATGCAAGGTCCTGCATCCATTCTGCGGAATGAAATTCTAACACTGGTTTGCCCTTTTCTTCCATGAACTGTTCAATTTCTTCTCATAAATCAAAGAAACGCCTCAGCACAGCACCTCGGCTTAACCATCTTACCTCAGTGTGGTATGGCAGGCCATAGATGTGGTCTTTCTCTCTGAGAAGGCTGTCAAACTGACGTTGATTCAGGCTTCTGGATCGGATGAAATTAACAGTTTGGATGACCACCTTCATGACGTTATCCATCTTTAATGACTTGCAACACAAAGCCTCCTGGTGCAAAATACAGTGAAAAGTCCAAAAATCACGCCCTCCATTTGCAGATTGCACTTTCTCTCTGAACTTTGTCACAACGCCTGCTTTTTTCCTGATCATTGAGGGCGCACCATCTGTAGCCAGGCTGACAGCGCGGGACCAGTCCACTCCGACCCTGTCCAGCGCGCTGACGAGTGCAGTGAAAATATCAGCTGCTGTCGTTGTATCTGTCATCGGCACCAACTCCACGAACTCCTCGGTGACGGTCAATGTGTCATCAACTCTGCGGATGAAAATGGCCAGTTGTGCAACATCTGTAATGTCCGTGCTTTCATCAATTGCAACCGAAAACGCAATAAATTACTTTACTTTTTGCTTCAACTGGCTGTCCAAATCCACTGATAGATGTGCTTGCACCGTATAAACCCATTTGCTTCTTAACACAATTCTGATTGACGCCATCCAGGGAACAAATGGCACAGCAGTTCTTATTAAAAATTGCAGCTAATTTTTATACTTTACAAAATCATTCTTGGCAGATATAAACCGTTGCGGGCCTCGATCGGCCGCGTGATGGCACGTATGACAACCCCTGCCATAGAAGTATGATACAGTCATTGTCTGTAAGAACTATTTTTTGTGACTCATTAAGGTGATGATCATAGAGTAGAATAATAGGAAGACACTTAAGATCCCCCAGAAACAGTGCACAACAATTAGGCTTAATTGATAAGGACTTGGATTAATTTGTAACTTTTGTTAAAAATGAATGCAAACAATATAGACCTCCAAAATCTGCTGTATTTAGGCTACCCAGAATGCACAAATGGTCAAGTCTAAAATATGTTCACAGATTAAAACTATTTTTTAATGAAAATGTAAAATACATAAACATTAAGCTATATGCATTGAAATAAAGATTATTCATACATTTAAAGAAAGAAAATATAAATAAAACAGCCCGCCATTTCACCCCTATAAAATTCTAGCCTTAATTCAATCAGACATACAGTGCATTCGGAAAGTATTCATACCCCTTGACCTTTTCCAAATTGTGTTATGTTACAGCCTTATTGTAAAATACTACAGTACAGATGTTGTAGCATAACCACACCTTTTCCCATTGTCACAAGCAACCTTTTGGAAAACTAAATGGGACAGACTTTGTCAACTATTACAGAGTATAACCTGTGGAGTCAGTGGACAGTAACACTTGGCTGCCTATCTTTACAATAATAACCTTTGTTTACTAACTCAAACAAGTGTTTTTCTATTTCACATGCCTTTGTGGGTTAATTTCTAAGCTTTGGCATGTTTGTTGTCAAAGGGGGAAAAGCATGGTACAATAAAGTAAGAGCACTGTAAAAATCGGTTAAATTGAGATTTTAAATATGCTTGTGACTTTTAAACTGTTTCTGTCTCTCCTTTCCTTTACCGATTAAATGTCAAGTCTCATAATTCATTCCAGCTTTTGAACTCCCTGTCCAATATTGAACTTGTGCTTTGTATAAATGCAGCACTATGTAATTATATTTTCAGTCTGTATTAACTTCCTCCAAAACATCTTCCTCCAAAGCAGGGGCAGGAACCTTGTTTCGCTCCGAACTCCCCTTCCCATACTCGTTCTCCACCACCTCCCTACTACAACCCCCCTTCCTCCCCAATCAAGGGATGTTGCTGCTGCTTCTGGACCTGACTACAGGTCTGTAGTCCTGGCATATGACGGCCAACCAATAGAAGTTCAGGATGACCACCAGGAAGTTTTTAACGGAAAAGAACACCAACATCTGGTGGAAGACATCAAAGTAGGTCATGACGGTCAGCCGGACCACGAGGAATGGGCCATCCTGGATGAACAGGCTCTCAATGATGCTCCATATGTCTTTGCTGTGCTTGGTCAGGAAGGAATCGCCTTGGCCCTTGCCCACGCTTTCTGGCTTTGAGTTCACCACTAATACACACACACACACACACACACACGAGTTCAGTTTCAAAAACAATTTTCAGATATTATTGGAAACTGGGGCTGAAGGCCTGAAGTATTTCCGTTGAAGTCTTCAACAGGATTATTGTAGATACAGTGGGGAAAAAAAGTATTTAGTCAGCCACCAATTGTGCAAGTTCTCCCACTTAAAAAGATGAGAGAGGCCTGTCATTTTCATCATAGGTACACGTCAACTATGACAGACAAATTGAGAAAAAAAAATCCAGAAAATCACATTGTAGGATTTTTTATGAATTTATTTGCAAATTATGGTGGAAAATAAGTATTTGGTCACCTACAAACAAGCAAGATTTCTGGCTCTCACAGACCTGTAACTTCTTCTTTAAGAGGCTCCTCTGTCCTCCACTCGTTACCTGTATTAATGGCACCTGTTTGAACTTGTTATCAGTATAAAATACACCTGTCCACAACCTCAAACAGTCACACTCCAAACTCCACTATGGTCAAGACCAAAGAGCTGTCAAAGGACACCAGAAACAAAATTGTAGACCTGCACCAGGCTGGGAAGACTGAATCTGCAATAGGTAAGCAGCTTGGTTTGAAGAAATCAACTGTGGGAGCAATTATTAGGAAATGGAAGACATACAAGACCACTGATAATCTCCCTCGATCTGGGGCTCCACGCAAGATCTCACTCCGTGGGGTCAAAATGATCACAAGAACGGTGAGCAAAAATCCCAGAACCACACGGGGGGACCTAGTGAATGACCTGCAGAGAGCTGGGACCAAAGTAACAAAGCCTACCATCAGTAACACACTACTCCGCCAGGGACTCAAATCCTGCATTGCCAGACGTGTCCCCCTGCTTAAGCCAGTACATGTCCAGGCCCGTCTGAAGTTTGCTAGAGTGCATTTGGATGATCCAGAAGAGGATTGGGAGAATGTCATATGGTCAGATGAAACCAAAATATAACTTTTTGGTAAAAACTCAACTCGTCGTGTTTGGAGGACAAAGAATGCTGAGTTGCATCCAAAGAACACCATACCTACTGTGAAGCATGGGGATGAAAACTTCATGCTTTGGGGCTGTTTTTCTGCAAAGGGACCAGGACGACTGATCCGTGTAAAGGAAAGAATGAATGGGGCCATGTATCGTGAGATTTTGAGTGAAAACCTCCTTCCATCAGCAAGGGCATTGAAGATGAAACGTGGCTGGGTCTTTTAGCATGACAATGATCCCAAACACACCTCCCGGGCAACGAAGGAGTGGCTTCGTAAGAAGCATTTCAAGGTCCTGGAGTGGCCTAGCCAGTCTCCAGATCTCAACCCCATAGAAAATCTTTGGAGGGAGTTGAAAGTCCGTGTTGCCCAGCGACAGCCCCAAAACATCACTGCTCTAGAGGAGATCTGCATGGAGGAATGGGCCAAAATACCAGCAACAGTGTGTGAAAACCTTGTGAAGACTTACAGAAAACGTTTGACCTGTGTCATTGCCAACAAGGGGTATATAACAAAGTATTGAGAAACTTTTGTTATTGACAAAATACTTATTTTCCACCATAATTTGCAAATAAATTCATAAAAAATCCTACAATGTGATTTTCTGGAAATTTTTTTCCTCATTTTGTCTGTCATAGTTGACATGTACCTATGATGAAAATTACAGGCCTCTCTCATCTTTTTAAGTGGGAGAACTTGCACAATTGGTGGCTGACTAAATACTTTTTTTCCCCACTGTATATACAATTGCATATTGTAAGTGCATCCTCACTATGTCATGTGTGATGAGTGGATGGTTACTTATCCACTTATAGTACATCATTTCAGGTTGTGAATAATGCAGTAGATTGGGGTAGGTCTTTTCTGAGAACAAGGGAGGCCGTAATGAACTGTTTATGATCCTCAACCCAGAATTGTTTAGCCACATGGCTATAATGGATTTCAGGAGGTTTGGGTTATTGGCAGTTTGCCTGACAATAGCTTACTCCATCAGCCAAGCAATGAGGAACTGAAGAAGAAGTGAGCCTTAATCTGTGTATAAAACTGACAGATTAAACCAAATCACTGTATACAATATAAAAAGGAATGTCTTTGAGTACATCCTTAAAGGGATCATTTGCAATTTTGGCAATGAAGCCCTTTATCTACTTGCCCAGAGTCAGATGAACTCGTGGATACCATTTTTATGTATCTGCGTTCAGCTTGAAGTAAGTTGCTAACTAGTGTTAGTGCAATTGCTAACTAGCGCTAGCTCAGGGGAAGTTGCCAAACTATCTCAAGCTTTTTGCATAATTTCAGCCAGTAGTTATGAAAGTGTTGCTCACAAACCAAAAGTGGTCCCCGTTTTTTGTTAACTACGTCATCTAATTGTGTACTATCATATCATCCATTTCGTGTGATATGTTACAATTTTTGTAACTTGTATGATATCATACAAATTTTTCAATTTGCGTGATATGTTATGAATCCATTTCGTAAAATATGTTACAAATTTGGATCCTGGAGTGCATCTTCAAGTGTTGCATCTTCCTATTTTATCCATACTGATGATAAAATATATTTCCTCTGAGTGTACTAAATAAAGTTTTCTTTTATCTTTGGTGAGATCCTTGTAGTTTGTGTGTAGGAAGTGGTGATAAGGACTCGGTGATAAGCACACAAATCAGCTCAGCTTTTTATGTTGCAACTTGGCTACGATAGCGCTGGATTGTCTCGTTTCAAATGTTTAGGCAAATTCGAAACTTTTCTGGCCACAGTCATGCTACAAAGAGATAACTTGATAAAGTAGGTAGGGCTGTGGGGGAGGCTCTCTGCAGTTCTATGTCTACAACAGATAATGAAATTAAAGATAAGAAATCTTAAGGTTTACCTTCATAGATGTGACATTCACAATGCTGTCTATGATATGGCTCTCCCACTCAAATAAACCCTCAAACCCACCATGAAAGTCTTGGCATCAGCATATAAAATACATCTAATCTGTAATTCACCGTAAAGAATATGAGCCTCAACATTCGAACAGATCTCCATAGCCTGTGTCTGTTGGCCAAAGTCAAGGAGAGTTAAATTCACTGCAGATAGGAATAATAAAATCACATGTTGAGACCCACCAGCCAGATGGAGAGGAAACTGTAACATGCTCCAGGTCCACACCGCTAGGATTATATACACCAGTTGAGGGCTGTTCTCCCTGGGAGGAATACAGAACACACAGCTCAACTAGTCAATGGGCTGATTCCACAGTAGCGGGAGTGGAAAATATATTTGGTATCTCATATATAAACTTCATTGGGAGAAGGGATGTTTAAATGGGTTTTACATTTAAGGCCCTTTTTAGACCTACAGTGAGGGAAAAAAGTATTTGATCCCCTGCTGATTTTGTACATTTGCCCACTGACAAAGAAATGATCAGTCTATAATTTTAATGGTAGGTTTATTTGAACAGTGAGAGACAGAATAACAACAAAAAAATCCAGAAAAACGCATGTCAAAAATGTTAGAAATTGATTTGCATTTCAATGAGGGAAATAAGTATTTGACCCCCTCTCAATCAGAAAGATTTCTGGCTCCCAGGTGTCTTTTATACAGGTGACGAGCTGAGATTAGGAGCACACTCTTAAAGGGAGTGCTCCTAATCTCAGTTTGTTACCTGTATAAAAGACACCTGTCCACAGAAGCAATCAATCAATCAGATTCCAAACTCTCCACCATGGCCAAGACCAAAGAGCTCTCCAAGGATGTCAGGGACAAGATTGTAGACCTATACAAGGCTGGAATGGGCTACAAGACCATCGCCAAGCAGCTTGGTGAGAAGGTGACAACCGTTGGTGCGATTATTCGCAAATGGAAGAAACACAAAAGAACTGTCAATCTCCCTCGGCCTGGGGCTCCATGCAAGATCTCACCTCGTGGAGTTGCAATGATCATGAGAACGGTGAGGAATCAGCCCAGAACTACACGGGAGGATCTTGTCAATTATCTCAAGGCAGCTGGGACCATAGTCACCAAGAAAACAATTGGTAACACACTACGCTGTGAAGGACTGAAATCCTGCAGCGCCCGCAAGGTCCCCCTGCTCAAGAAAGCACATATACAGGGCCGTTTGCCAATGAACATCTGAATGATTCAGAGGAGAACTGGGTGAAAGTGTTGTGGTCAGATGAGACCAAAATCGAGCTCTTTGGCATCAACTCAACTCGCCGTGTTTGGAGGAGGACGAATGCTGCCTATGACCCCAAGAACACCATCCCCACCGTCAAACATAGAGCTGGAAACATTATGCTTTGGGGGTGTTTTTCTGCTAAGGGGACAGGACAACTTCACCGCATCAAAGGGACGATGGACGGGGCCATGTACCGTCAAATCTTGGGTGAGAACCTCCTTCCCTCAGCCAGGGCATTGAAAATGGGTCGTGGATGGGTATTCCAGCATGACAATGACCCAAAACACACGGCCAAGGCAACAAAGGAGTGGCTCAAGAAGAAGCACATTAAGGTCCTGGAGTGGCCTAGCCAGTCTCCAGACCTTAATCCCATAGAAAATCTGTGGAGGGAGCTGAAGGTTCGAGTTGCCAAACGTCAGGCTCGAAACCTTAATGACTTGGAGAAGATCTGCAAAGAGGAGTGGGACAAAATCCCTCCTGAGATGTGTGCAAACCTGGTGGCCAACTACAAGAAACGTCTGACCTCTGTGATTGCCAACAAGGGTTTTGCCACCAAGTACTAAGTCATGTTTTGCAGAGGGGTCAAATACTTATTTCCCTCATTAAAATGCGAATCAATTTATAACATTTTTGACATGCGTTTATCTGGATTTTTTGGTTGCTATTCTGTCTCTCACTGTTCAAATAAACCTACCATTAAAATTATAGACTGATCATGTCTTTGTCAGTGGGCAAACGTACAAAATCAGCAGGGGATCAAATACTTTTTTCCCTCACTGTATACATGCCTCCTGTAATACCCTATGATCTGTGAATCGTACATGATACAGACATCTTCATGTCATTATACTCCTTACTGTGTGCTCTAAAAAAAAATTGTGTGCACGAACAGCCAAAGAAAAAACTATAGTATGTTGTCATACTATATGTGCAAACTGTTTAGACTGGAAAGCATAAGCCTCAGTCAGTAAAGTCAATCGAAAGGTCAGACACCTACTTGACATCAGACAGCGTTTCACTGGTGAACTCCAATATGTCAGCTGCTGTGCCAACGAAGATAAGCAGGAGCTGGGAGAGTTCGTTCCGCGTGACCCCGCTCCCCAGTGGGAGGAGCCACTTCCCTACGATGAGAAGGATTAGCAGGACCTGATGGAGGGCCAGGATCCAGTCGTTGGGGCAAACCGTGGACATGATTTGGTCAAGAACCTCAAATGTCAAGAGAGGGAACAGAGGGTCAAACCATAGATAATAAACACTCGAAAATGTGCTACAGTAAAAGGCTCAGGGTAGGGATAGGACAAGGAAAGAAGAGTCCCCTAATGACCCCTGAGACCTCCGTCACTGCGATTGAAATAACCTTATACACTGAGTATACAAAACCTGCTCTTTCCATGACATAGATTGACCAGGTGAATCCTGGGCAAGACAAAGTGCCTTTGAACGGGGTACGGTAGTAGGTACCAGGCGCACAGGATTGTGTCAAGAACTTCAACGCTGCTGGGTTTTTCACGCTCAACAGCTTCCTGTGTGTATCAAGAATGTTCCACCACCCAAAGGACATCCAGCCAACTTGACACAACTGTGGGAAGCATTGGAGTCAACATGGGCCAGCATCCCTGTGGAACACTTGACACCTTGTAGAGTCCATGCCCCAACGAATTGAGGCTGTTCTGAGGGCAAAAGGGGGTGTTCTTAATGTTTGGTATACTCAGTGTATGTTAATAATGGAAAGTACTAAATACATTTGAAGTCGTAAGTTTACATACACTTGTTTTTCAACCTCTCCACAAATTTCTTTTTAACAAAGTATAGTTTTGGCAAGTCGGTTAGGACATCTACTTTGTGCATGACACAAGTAATTTTTCCAACAATTGTTTACAGACAGATTATTTCACTTATAATTCACTGTATCACAATTCCAGTGGGTCAGAAGTTTACATACACTAACTTGGCTGTGCCTTTTAACAGCTTGGAAAATTCCAGAAAATGATGCCATGGCTTTAGAAGCTTCTGATAGGCTAATTGACATCATTTGAGTCAATTGGAGGTGTACCTGAGGATGTATTTCAAGGCCTACCTTCAAACTCAGTGCCTCTTTGCTTGACATCCTGGGAAAATCTAAAGAAATCAGCCAAGACTTCAGAAAAAAAATTGTAGACCTCTACAAGTCTGGTTCATCCTTGGGAGCAATTTCCAAACACCTGAAGGTACCACATTCATCTGTACAAACAATAGTACGCAAGTATAAACACTGTGGGACCACGCAGACACGTCATACCGCTCAGGAAGGAGACGCATTCTGTCTCCTAGAGACAAATCAATCCCAGAACAACAGCAAAGGACCTTGTGAAGATGCTGGAGGAAACAGGTACAAAAGTATCTATATCCACAGCAAAACGAGTCCTATATCAACATAACCTGAAAGGCCGCTCAGCAAGGAAGAAGCCACTGCTCTAAAACTGCCATAAAAAAGCCAGACTATGGTTTGCAACTGCACATGGGGACAAAGATCATACTTTTTCTGGTCTGATGAAACAAAAATAGAACTGTTTGGCCATAATGACCATCGTTATGTTTGGAGGAAAAAGGGGATAGCTTGCATGCCCAAGAACACCATCCCAACCGTGAAGCACTGGGGTGGCAGCATCATGCTGTGGGGGTGCTTTGCTGCAGGAGGGACTGGTGCACTTCACAAAATAGATGGCATCATGAGGAAGGAAAATTATGTGGATATATTGAAGCAACATCTCAAGACATCATTCAGGAAGTTAAAGCTTGGTCGCAAATGGGTCTTCCAAATGGACAATGACCCCAAGCATACTTCCAAAGTTGGTGCAAAATGGCTTAAGGACAACAAAGGTATTGGAGTGGCCATCACAAAGCCCTGACCTCAATCCTATAGAAAATGTGTGGGCAGAACTGAAAAAGCGTGTGCAAGCAAGGAGGCCTACAAACCTGACTCAGTTACACCAGCTCTGTCAGGAGGAATGGGCCAAAATTCACCCAACTTATTGTGGGAAGCTTGTGGAAGGCAACCCGAAACGTTTGACCCAAGTTAAACAATTTAAAGGCAATGCTACCAAATATTAATTGAGTGTATGTAAACTTCTGACCCACTGGGAATGTGATGAAATAAATAAAAGCTGAACTACATCATTCTCTCTACTATTATTCTGACATTTCACATTCTTAAAATAAAGTGCTGATTTTAACTGACCTAACATGGAATTTTTACTACGATTAAATGTCAGGAATTGGTGAAAAACAGAGTTTAAATGTACAGTGGGGAAAAAAGGTATTTAGTCAGCCACCAATTGTGCAAGTTCTCCCACTTAAAAATATGAGAGAGGCCTGTAATTTTCATCATAGGTACACGTCAACTATGACAGACAAAATGAGAAAACAAAATCCAGAAAATCACATTGTAGGATTTTTAATGAATTTATTTGCAAATTATGGTGGAAAATAAGTATTTGGTCAATAACAAAAGTTTCTCAATACTTTGTTATATACCCTTTGTTGGCAATGACACAGGTCAAATGTTTTCTGTAAGTCTTCACAAGGTTTTCACACACTGTTGCTGGTATTTTGGCCCATTCCTCCATGCAGATCTCCTCTAGAGCAGTGATGTTTTGGGGCTGTCGCTGGGCAACACGGACTTTCAACTCCCTCCAAAGATTTTCTATGGGGTTGAGATCTGGAGACTGGCTAGGCCACTCCAGGACCTTGAAATGCTTCTTACGAAGCCACTCCTTCGTTGCCCGGGCGGTGTGTTTGGGATCATTGTCATGCTGAAAGACCCAGCCACGTTTCATCTTCAATGCCCTTGCTGATGGAAGGAGGTTTTCACTCAAAATCTCACGATACATGGCCCCATTCATTCTTTCCTTTACACGGATCAGTCGTCCTGGTCCCTTTGCAGAAAAACAGCCCCAAAGCATGATGTTTCCACCCCCATGCTTCACAGTAGGTAGGGTGTTCTTTGGATGCAACTCAGCATTCTTTGTCCTCCAAACACGACAAGTTGAGTTTTTACCAAAAAGTTCTATTTTGGTTTCATCTGACCATATGACATTCTCCCAATCCTCTTCTGGATCATCCAAATGCACTCTAGCAAACTTCAGACGGGCCTGGACATGTACTGGCTTAAGCAGAGGGACACGTCTGGCACTGCAGGATTTCAGTCCCTGGCGGCATAGTGTGTTACTGATGGTAAGCTTTGTTACTTTGGTCCCAGCTCTCTGCAGGTCATTCACTAGGTCCCCCCGTGTGGTTCTGGGATTTTTGCTCACCGTTCTTGTGATCATTTTGACCCCACGGGGTGAGATCTTGCGTAGAGCCCCAGATCGAGGGAGATTATCAGTGGTCTTGTATGTCTTCCGTTTCCTAATAATTGCTCCCACAGTTGATTTCTTCAAACCAGGCTGCTTACCTATTGCAGATTCAGTCTTCCCAGCCTGGTGCAGGTCTACAATTTTGTTTCTGGTGTCCTTTGACAGCTCTTTGGTCTTGGCCATAGTGGAGTTTGGAGTGTGACTGTTTGAGGTTGTGGACAGGTGTCTTTTATACTGATAACAAGTTCAAACAGGTGCCATTAATACAGGTAACGAGTGGAGGACAGAGGAGCCTCTTAAAGAAGAAGTTACAGGTCTGTGAGAGCCAGAAATCTTGCTTGTTTGTAGGTGACCAAATACTTATTTTCCACCATAATTTGCAAATAAATTCATTAAAAATCCTACAATGTGATTTTCTGGAGAAAAAAAATCTCAATTTGTCTGTCATAGTTGACGTGTACCTATGATGAAAATCACAGGCCTCTCTCATCTTTTTAAGTGGGAGAACTTGCACAATTGGTGACTGACTAAATACTTTTTCCCCCCACTGTATGTGGCTAAGGTGTATGTAAACTTCCGACTTCAACTGTATACTTAGATGTGACCCTGTCGTCGACTGTGAATTCGCGAATAAGTCAACATCTGTGTAGAAAGGCCATGTGAATATTTATTGTCTTCTGAATGTTTATTGCTATATTGAGGTCAAGGGTCCTAGCTACAGTAGATTTAAGAAAAGTGAAAGGTAAAATAGTCAAGAAACGAAAACTAGTTCCAGTATTTACCTTTAGATAGGTTTGAACCGTTAAATTCTCCACAGTTTCGTTCAGAGAAATCATGCTTTTCACATTTTCCCATGAGTCCATTTTCTTGCACTGAAATGAGAGAAGTGACGTTGTAAGTAAATGTTTTATAACTTTCATGCATACATTGAACATGGAGCTTTGCGATTTTTCTCCATCTCTGTTTTCTGTACCTGAGGGTAACTAGATTTGTTCTCCTGATGATGTAGTTCCAAAATCCAGATGGAAGGAATTATATTGATCAGGAAAAGCAAGATGGCTGGCGAGAACCTCGGGTTGAAGGAGAAAATGAACTTGATTTATTTTTGTGACAACTCTTTATTCCATTCACATGCATTTGAGAGATGCATGCACCTATTGTGACGCGTGATTTGAAGGAGTCAGGCGCAGGAGGGTAAATCACAGTATACAGAGTTTATTCCGTAATCCAGCGTAACCAGTCCAGTGCGCAAAACAGGCGCACTGGAACAAACATGCACACGGGGAAAATACCCCGGCAATACAAAATACTGAGCTCAACCGAGCTACTAATCCTCACAATTGGCCTAGCGTTGTCCGGGTTTGGCCGGTGTATGCCGTCATTGTAAATAAGAATTTGTTCTTCACTGACTTGCCTAGTTAAATAAAGGTAAAAAAATAAAAATTAAATTAAAAAAACACTCACAAGGACAAGGGGGCAGAGGGAATACTTATATACATACTAATGAGGGGAATATGAACCAGGTGTGTGTAATTGACAAGACAAAACAAATGAATGTATAATTTTCATAATCATGGCACGCTTTGGGTAAGAGCTATTGCAAATTTAAAGCTGGAATATTTTGTTTATTTGTTTACTGTTACAGGTTTTGGTTTTTCCATTTATGTTTTGAGGTTGGACTTTTAGCACGTTAGCACGTAGGGCGCACCGATTGGTGTTACCTCGTTAGTCAGTATAATAATAATAATATAATATGCCATTTAGCAGATGCTTTTATCCAAAGCGACTTACAGTCATGTGTGCATAAATTTTTACGTATGGGTGGTCCCGGGGATCAAACCCACTACCCTGGCGTTACAAGCACCATCCTCTACCAATTGAGCTACAGAGGACCACAGTATGTGTTACACCTGTGCTGGTTGCCATCTCGTTAGTGGGAAGGTGTTTCACCTGTGCTGGCCCAGGTGCTATTCAATGCAAATAGTCCGGGTAGCCATGATTAGCTGTTTAGGAGTCTTATGGCTTGGGGTAGAAGCTGTTAAGAAGCCTTTTGGACCTAGACTTGGCTCACCGGTACCGCTTGCCGTGCGGTAGCAGAGAGAACAGTCTATGACTAGGGTGGCTGGAGTCTTTGACAATTTTTAGGGCCTTCCTCTGACACTGCCTGGTATAGAGGTCCTGGATGGCAGGAAGCTTGGCCCCAGTGATGTACTGGGCCGTACGCACTACCATCTGTAGTGCCCTGCATTCGGAGGCCGAGCAGCTGCCATACCAGGCAGTGATGCAACCAGTCAGGATGAGGGGTTTTCAGTGACTCTTTGTTAGTTCCCCTTTCTGTTTGAGCAACATCATTTGGTTTTCTTGTTGGGGAACGTAACAAAATGGGTGGCTCATCCGGGATATTGTTTCCCATGAGTATGGTAGTTGCTATAGTCACCTACTCGGAAGCTCTGCTATACCCAGATATTTGAGTGTTCAAAATACACTTTTGAGTTTCTGTCACTGACATCCACCTTGAGGGGATATACGATTGTTGGAATCATTTTGAAAGTTGCATAAACACACAGGCTAATAAAATTAAAATAAAGCCATGGACTTTAAGTTGGAAACATTTGTGGAGAACCCTACATGGGAGATGCTAGATGAATGCACAAAGGCGAATCTGCTCATCGCAAAGCATTGGCATTAAAGTGGCATCTGGCGATCCAAAAGCAGTTGCCAAAGAGTTGATCGGTACTGTTTTAGTGGAGGAGGAAATCCTCTCGGAGAGTGAGGCTGATGAAAAAGGCACTACGGGTAGTAGAGTAGATCCCCGTAGACATACAACTAAGGGAGTTAGAACTAAAGGCAAAGTTGTAGCAACAACAATTTGAGCTTTAACAACAGAAATTAGAGTTGGAGCACAGGGAAAGACAAGATGAGCGTGCAGCCAAACAAGAATGAGAACGTGCAGCCAGACTAGAACAAGCAGAACGTGCACATGCCATTCGATTAATAGAGATGGATCTGCAAGCGCTCCGAATCCAGTCAGGCCATCCTGCACGCTCAACAGAGTTTGATCTTGATCGGAACAGCTGGCTTGTACCGCCTTTCAATGAAAAGGAGGTGATGTATATTTTACTCTGTTTGAGCGGATTGCCACATCCCTATAATGGCCGTGAGATATTTGGTCACTGCTCCTCAAATGTTCTTGTGGGAAAAGCTCAAAAATTGTACACCGCTTTATGGCTTGACCAGAGTTCAGACTATGACACTGTTAACTTCTTAAGGATCTGACCCTTTTTTTCAATTTTCGCCTAAAATGACATACCCAAATCTAACTGCCTGTAGCTCAGGACCTGAAGCAAGGATATGCAAGTTTGTGGTAATGTGAAATTAATGTAGGAGAATATAACACATTAGATCTGGTAAAAGATAATACAAACAAAAAAACATGCGTTTTCTATTTTCTTGTTTTGTTCCATCATCTTTGAAATGCAAAAGAAAGGCCACAATATAATATTGCAGTTCAGGCGCAATTTAGATTTTGCCCACTAGATGGCAGCAGTGTGTGTGCAAAGTTTCAGATTGATCCAGTGAAGCATTGTAATACTGGACTATTTTGTATCAAGTCTGCCCAAATGTGCCGAATTGGTCAATTGATACATTTTCAAGTACATAACTATAGAGAACATACAAAAATGATATGGTAATACAAAATGTAAGTTTACACACTCCCAGGAATGTCATACATGATGGATCATTAGCTTATACACTAACTTTTACACATCTAGATGGCCGGGCGGGGTCGGTGTGGAGCCAAAGACAGCAGGGGTTCAAATTGTAAAACCCAGTTCCTACATTTGAATATAAAAATGGATTTTATCAAACAAAACTATGCTACATTTTATCTCTGGGACCCTTAGGATCAGCGCAAGACTACTGAATGTAAGTAATAATATGCCATTTAGCAGACGCTTTTATCCAAAGCAACTTACAGTCATGCGTGCATACATTTTTTTTTGTTTTGTGTATGGGTGGTCCCGGGGATCGAACCCACTACCTTGGCGTTACAAGCGCCGTGCTCTACCAGCTGAGCTACAGAGGACCACGTACATTATTTACCTTCACAGGTGAATGTATCAAACCAGTTGCCATGATAAGTTTTTGTTGTTGTTGTGCACTCTCCTCAAACAATAGCATGGTATTCTTTCACTGTAATAGCTACTGTAAATTGGACAGTGCAGTTAGATTAACAAGACTTTAAGCTTTCTGCCCATATAAGACATGTCTATGTCCTGGAAAGTTTTCTGTTACTTACAACAGTCATGCTAATCACATTAGCGCACGTTAGCTCAACCGTCCTGTATATGGGACACCGATCCCGTAGAGATTAAAGCTGCTATCCTTCGGGCTTACAAGTTGGTCCCAGAGGCATACAGACAACAGTTCCGTAAATTACGAAAGACAGAATCACAAAACCCCACCCGTTTCGTTTTGGTTGTCAGTGACTCTGTTAGTCCCCCGTTCTGTTTGAGCGACATTGTTTGTTTTTCTTGCTGGGGAACGTAACATTAAATTATTTAAAAACATTTTGAAGTCGTGGGTTTTTGTCCATCCTCCCATCATTCAGAATATATCAATTTCATAGTCATGGCATTTTACAGTTATATTAAACTTCATTTTGCACTATCTTATTTGTTGTCTGTTATGTCTTTAGGATAAAAATATTTGGTAAGAGCTATTTAAGATTGAAAGGAAGAAAAATATATTTATCAAAATGTTTAACAATAGACGTGGAAAACACAGAATATCCAATATTATTATTATATTAAACTTCTTATTTGTTGTCTGTTATGTCTTTAGGACTAAAATATTTGGATAGCCTGCACATGACAAATTATGCACAGTATGCTAAAATAGCGTAGGCTATAATAGAATAAATGAACAGAATCTTACCATTTATAATCCTTTCCCTTTCTTATTTTCAAAGTTATGATCATTTCGAGAATGAGAGGTAGAAACAGGAATGTCAGAAACCAGAAGTTATTGTCATCTTTAACCAATTTCACTCTCCAAACTCCGATTAGTGAGATGACAATAAATAGCAACCTAGTAACAATCGCACATGAAAATTTGACCACAAATGCCATGACGCTTAATGGTAAAGATTCGACAGTTTAAGGGTCCCGTTATTCCTGAAGATTCAAGCTCCAGTCGACCGCCGACAATGAATAACTTACTCTACAACACACGGTCGTCACTAGTTACCACAGCCACAAAGTTATAAACCGCGCCCAATTCTACAATTTATTTTCTTAAAATTGTATTTTAAACTTAACCTTAACCACACTGCTAACCTTATGCCTAACACTAACTAAATTAACTTAATTAATTTTTATGGTATTGTGGCTGAGGTAACTAGTGGAAACCTCCACACACAGCCACCAAAGCTTTACGCTTTGAACACACCGACTGCGCCAGTGTTTTGGTAAACCAAAAGTACATTCGTTTCCAATGGAACGCTGCGTTTGCCTTGCAGCATTGCGTTGCAGAGGCAGATGCAGTGCGTTCTGTGTGGTGCATACGTTGGATTTATCGAACGTATGCATCAAACTGTATGTGTCAACGGGTTGACAGAAATGGTAGCAGAGGGTGAATGTTGAACTTTTGTTGCACACAAATCTAGAAGATGCTGCATACTATTTTGCGCAAAAGCACAGTCGGTGTGTTCAAAGCATTACGCTCCCCAAACGGGGTCTCGTTTTTGATTGACGGGAGTAGTATTACAATAGTGATTTTCCAATGCAGTCAAATGAAGATAAGGCTACATTTGCACACACAACTAAAATGCTATTTATTTATTGTATCGAATTTTATTAACGTCAAGGGATTTAAATGTGCAACTTTGTACTGAAGAGGGCAGCACTGCATTGCTTGACATGATATATGGGGCGGCGCACAATTGGCCCAGCGTCGTCCAGGGTAGGGGAGGGAATGGCATGTAGCTTAGTTGGTAGAGCATGGCGTTTGCAACGCCAGGGTTGTGGGTTCGATTCCCACGGGGGGCCAGTATGAATAAAAAAAATAAAATAATGTATCACTAACTGTAAGTCGCTCTGGATAAGAGCGTCTGCTAAATGACGTAAATGTAAATATATGCCTACTGTTAGGCTATACGTTATTTTATTATGATTGATGGATATAATTAGGCTATACACAGGCTCAAAGGCAGACGATATTCACTGGAATGATTCATCAGATGTTGAAAATGTGCATACAATAGCCTAGGCCTCATCAAAGTGACCATGTGTGCTTCATGAAATTCCAATGCTGTAAACTGTCACATTTATGGACAGAGGGAAGAGAGGAAATTGAGAAAGACCTAACATAACACATCTATTTGAACCATATTGAGTAGATTTGCAGTAAGGTGTTCTTAAGAAATGATTAGGCCTATATTCAATATCTATGTCAGTGATACATTCCACAATAAAATAGAGATATGCTCTACTTAGACTGTTATATAAAGGAAAAAACATAGGCCTACTAATAGTATTTTTCTCCGCTCTGAAAAGTATTTTTCTCTACTCTGCTGACAAGTATCTTTCTCCATTCATACAAGAGTAATAAAGGCCTAGTTCACTAATTTTGTGTGTGGGGGGGAACTAATAGATATATTTTGATTTATCAGGGGGTGCAGCACCCTCAGCACCCCTACTTCCCACAGCTATGGATGCACAGACTTTTGATTCAGATCAACAGCTTGCAATCATTCTTTATGAAGTTATGAGTGATGAAGTCCCTTTGGTCATTTGCATTAATTCGATTTATTCACGCATGAATATACTGTATACAGACTACATATTAAAACCACTTATAACACAAAGAAATATACCCATGGTTAGATGTTTTCCTCCAATAACATCAAAATTGCTCTATCTAAACCCACTTTGATATTTGAAGCCATATTTTAATTACATATACAGTACCAGTCAAAAGTTTGGACACACGTACTAATTCCAGGGTTTTTCTTTATTTTTACTATTTTCTACATTGTAGAATAATAGTGAAGACATCAAAACTATGAAATAACACATATGGAATCATGTAGTAACCAAAAAAGTGTTAAACAAATCAAAATATATTTTACATTTGAGATTCTTCAAATAGCCACCCTTTGCCTTGATGACAGCTTTGCACACTCTTGGCATTCTTTCAACCAGCTTCACCTGGAATGCTTTTCCAACAGTCTTGAAGGAGTTCCCACATATGCTGAGCACTTGTTGGCTGCTACCATCTCCATTGGGTTGAGGTCGCGGGATTGTGGAGGCCAGGTCATCTGATGCAGCACTCCATCACTCGCCTTCTTGATAAAATAGTCCTTACACAGCCTGGAGGGTGTTGGGTCATTGTCCTGTTGAAAAACAAATGATAGTCCCACTAAGCCCAAACCAGATGGGATGACGTATCGCTGCAGAATGCTGTGGTAGCAATGCTGGTTAAGTGTGCCTTGAATTCTAAATAAATCACAGACAGTGTCACCAGCAAAGCACCCCCACACCATAACACCTGCTCCTCCATGCTTTACGGTGGGAAATACACATGCGGAGATCATCCGTTCACCCACACCGCGTCTCACAAAGACACAGCGGTTGGAACCAAAAATCTCCAATTTGGACTCCAGACCAAAGGACACATTTTCACCGGTCTAATGTCCATTGCTCGTGTTTCTTGGCCCAAGCAAGTTTCTTCTTATTATTGGTGTCCTTTAGTAGTGGTTTCTTTGCAGCAATTTGAGGCCTGATTCACACAGTCTCGTCTGAACAGTTGATGTTGAGATGTGTCTGTTACTTCAACTCTGTGAAGCATTTATTTGAGCTGCAATTTCTGAGGCTGGTAAATCTAATAAACGTATCCTCTGCAGCAGAGGTAACTATTGGTCTTTCTTTCCTGTGGTGGTCCTCATGAGAGCCAGTTTCATCATAGCGCTTGATGGTTTTTACGACTGCACTTGAAGACATTTTCGAAGTTCTTGAAATGTTCCGTATTGACTGACCTTCATGTCTTAAAGTCATGATGGACTGTTGTTTCTCTTTGGTTATTTGAGCTGTTCTTACCATAATATGGACTTGGTCTTTTACCAAATAGGGCTATCTTCTGTATACCCCCCTACCTTGTCACAACACAACTGATTGGCTCAAACGCATTAAAATGGAAAGAAATCCCACAAATTCACTTTTAAGAAGGCACACCTGTTAATTGAAATGCATTCTAGGTGACTACCTCATGAAGCTGGTTGAGAGAATCCCAAGAGTGTGCAAAGATGCCATCAAGGCAAAGGGTGGCTATTTGAAGAATCTCAAATATAAAATATATTTTGATTTGTTTAACACTTTTTTGGTTACTACATCATTCCATATGTGTTATTTCGTAGTTTTGATGTCTTCACTATTATTCTACAATGTAAAAAATTATTTAAATGAAAGAAAAACCCTTGAATGAGTAGGTGTGTGCAAACATTTTGCTCGTAGTGTACAAATTGATATTTCTGATTGTGATTACAATTTGACGTTTTCAAACACAAATTCAATATCGGTAGAGCTCCCCAATAAATTATTCACCACTTTCAATTCAGCCAGGGATGGTAAGGCACACAGGATAGTGCAATGTTCTCTCTGCCTATTTGGCTGCAGAGCTGATTCTATACTGAACAAAAATATAAACGCAACATGCAACAATTTCAAATTTTCTACTGAGTTACAGTTCATATCAGCAAATCAGTCAATTGAAATAAATTCATTAGGCCATAATCTATGGATTTCACATGACTGGGCAGGGGCGCAGCCATGGATGGGCCTGGGAGGGCATAGGCCCACCCACTTGGGAGCTAGGCCCACCCACTGGGTAGCCAGGCCCAGCCAATCAGAATGAGTTTTTCCCCACAAAAGGGCTTTATTACAGACGGAAATACTCCTCAGTTTCACCAGCTGTCCGGGTGTCTGGTCTCAGACAATCCCGCAGGTGCAGAAGCCGGATGTGGAGATCCTGGGCTGGCGTGGTTACACGTGGTCTGCTGTTGTGAGGCCGGTTGGACGTACTGCCAAATTCTCTAAAATGACGTTGGAGGCGGCTTATGGTAGAGAAATGAACATTAAATTCTCTGGCAACAGCTCTGGTGGACATTCCTGCATGCCAATTGCATGCTCCTTCAAAACTTGAGAGATCTGTGGCATTTTGTTGTGTGACAAAACTGCCCATTTTAGTGGCCTTTTATTGTCACCAGCACAAGGTGCACCTGTGTAATGATCATGCTGTTTAATCATCTTCTTGATATGCCACACCTGACAGGTGGATGGATTATTTTGGCAAAGGAGAAATGCTCACTAACAGGGATGTAATCAAATTTGTGCACAAAATTTGAGAGAAATAAGCTTTTTGTGCGCATGGAACATTTCTGGGATCTTCTATTTCAGCTCATGAATTATGGGACCAACACATTACATGTTGCGTTTATATTTTTGTTCAGTGTATATAGTTCATTGGGAGAGATCGTGAGCGGAGCAAGGAAACAAACCCCCTGACATGTAAACAGAAATAGATTTCCCAGCTACCACATTCCCACCTGCAATAACAAGGCTTCCTCTGCGCTTCATTCAGTAATAATAATGACACCACTAATGAAGATAGTTATTTGCTGTGTCAGGGATGAACTGAATGACCTTGTCAGTCTTCTGACAGCGTGTAAAGGAACTTGAGCAACTAATTGCTAATTTCACTTGGTTGTGAGATACTGAAGTTACTTGAATCCTCTTGGCCCCTTGGCCTTGGGAGCAAAGGGCATCCACCACCATGACTTTTGACCTAACTCATTTCTGTGCAAGAGCTTTTGCCTCAAGGGGAAAATACCAGGAGATTCCACTTTATTGAAGTCTTGTGGGATACTGTGTGGTTTTAACACTCTGTGGTATTGGTCAGGGTAGTTCAGAAAAATATATGTACTGAGGTTTGAATTACAGTAGAATCTATCTGCACATATGTTTTGTAATTGTGTTATAACTGTAACTCTTCAATTCTATTTTGGGGTATTACAGGGGTATTACAGGGAGAGTTCTGATCACAAATGCTGAATAGCATATCCAATTATGATTGG